TAACCAAAATGTGTGACAAATCAATGGCGCAATGGAGAAGTAGTATAACAGTACCAAGATTATAAGGACAACGTGAAATATTATGTGTGTTCCCTGTCACACCACTTGAAGCTGCATACTGACTGTAGATGAATAAAATGTAAAAATACATTAATGGACGTTGAATTTAACTGAAAATTTCGTTTATTAGATAGTTTTGCAATATAAATAACTTGGAAGAATCAGTATTGAACTTCTATTTGAAGAGGATATTTGCAGTGGGCATTTGGTTGAGAACGAATTGACTGATGATCATGACTAATAATTATTTATTATATAGGCTGAGTTTTCTAAAACTTAGTTTTTAAATGTTTTTGCTCATATATATGGTTGATGCCTTGTCTTATTCTCATGTCTCAAATTAGGAAATTCCCTCTGTGCAATAACGTATAATGATTATATAAGCAAGTAATATGTGATGTACGCATAGAAATAGAAATGAATGACCAGATCGTTGTTACCAAGGGGTTTAGTTCAGCCCACTCTTGCTTCAAACTCTCTAGCTTGCTACTTAATCTGCAAACATTGTAAGTCTCTTCTCCTCAGAAGTCACAGAGGACTGTCACTTTCCTGATATACAAATTAAAAATGTTGGAAAAGACAATTACATTTTGCATTACATACACAAGGTTTTGCAAGCCGTTTACTGATTGTGAGGCACTGCAAGGGACATTCTTCAAAAATATTTCTTTTTCAATAAATCAGTATTCCAACATTCATAATACAAACTTTTTTGTAGACAATTTATGGAATGCATAATGAACAGAGAATTAGAACACAAAGCAGGTGACTTTCATCAAACAAACTTTGACTTCCTGAAATACACATTTCAATCTCCCCTCAGGCTTACTTCCACATGCATGCAGTTGTTTCAACAACTGAGAACCTACAGTTTCAAAACAGAGTTTATCTGCACTCTTAATGCTGTGTCTGCATCAGTAAGTAAACCATCAAGACAGCAGATTGATTGCCCTTCACTAACCCTAAGAAGCAGTATATTCATCCAAACTCTGTGCTCACTCCCTTACATTAGTTACCACAAAGGTTACTTTTGGGCACTTAAGTTCTGAGAATGAATTTCATATAATGACCTGGGCCCTGTTTCATATAGCCCTACTGCGCGAATGAAAGTGTTGTTGACACACAGTAATTTCTTCACTGTGTGAAGCGATGATTCAAAATTTTCTTCAGGAAATTTAAACCCAAATGAGTCAAGCAATTTACTGATGGGTTATTTCCAAAGAAGCTCCATTCATACCCAACACTCTCTGTGCTGGGTATTCAGATGATCATGAAATGCTACCAGCTTGCACCACACCATTCAAAATTTGTATAACCAACTTTTTATGGCAAGAGACACAAGTGTAACTTAAGAGGGGAGGACTGCCTCACCTCTCCTCTGAATACTTTGAGCTTCATTGAATTGTCAAAATTATACAAAAATGTTGAAATGTATATAAATAAAAATATGATAAAGAATTTTAAAAGTTTGAATTACAGAATAATAAGTGCATGAACTTAATTATGGAATAATACGTGCTTTAAAAACATAAATTTTAATAAAGAATAAAACAAAAGATGTCCCCATTCCCCTGTATGAAATAATCTTCATGCATTTCATATCAAACGACACAAGGAAATGGCATCACATGATCTGGGAGATCCCACAGCACTTGAGATTGAATTTGTTTCCTGTCAATACGAAGATTTGTTGGTTGTGGAGATGAGTTCCCTCCACAACTGATCCAATCTCCCAACATCTGCAATATTTATTATTATAATACAATTAAGTTACCAATTATTTAAGACTTTTAAAATTTCCATTTATTTATAATTATTATTCCAATAATCCAGATATTTTAAAATCTGAAAAAAAATATATTTGAAAAGCAGCAGAACTAGTAAGATATAAAAAATTCTTTTACATATTTATAAAATTTTAAATTGATTTAAAATTAACTAGAATTCCTATTATATGTCATTTCTATCCTCTTGAGTTGTCTTTGAGGGTGAGCCCCTAAGCAATTGCCTAGTTTGCTTCAGCAGAAATCCACTCTTGAGAACAAAAGTATTCATTCCTTGCATATTGTCTTAAATTGAATAATTTAAATCATTACACCAGATTTAATGATGATGGAGAAGCTGACGAAAGCTGTTTATATATAGTAAACACAGGTAAAGACAACTCTTTTTATTCAAATTAAGAGATTGTAAAATTATTTGTGTAAAACAAGAAATACAATAAGAGTATAAATTTGTTTGTTGATTGATATCACTTTCAGAATATTTTCTATTTTATGTACAGTGACTTTAAGTTAGTGTAGCGAGTGTAGTGTAGTGTAGTACAGTGAGTTAGTTTTGAATTCATGATACAGTAAAATCTGTCTAAGCTAAAATCTGCAGGGACACAAAACAATTCCGTTTTAGGAAGGTTTCCTTTTCATACAATGTGGTCAATTTCATGACATTTGTAATATTGGTAGTTCTACCCTGAAAATAGTACATTACATGACTTTATTATAATTATCGGAATACATTAACATATAACGTATTTATGGAAGAAATCACCAATAAATGAATATTAAACACTCTTCATTAGCAATGCTTGAGCAATGCATATCTAGCTAATGGGTAATGATTTTCAACACGGGGTAGGGAGATGCGTGAATAAAAGCCATGCCCGCAAATTTTCCCACGCTCAGAGAGTTGGGAGAGAGGATAAATCACTATGCTGAATAAGGTTGAATTCTATGCTGACAGCTGAAGCTCCTCTCCTTTAATATCTGGCTGCCAAAACTAAATAATGTATCACAGGGATAGAGAATTTAAAACGAGCTTGTAGATGCATTCATTTCATTAAGTACATCTTGAGCCTCTCTGCCAATTGCCTTAAATTCATAGAAATTCCATTTTATAAAGATTTTTTCCCAGCCGAACATGAAGTACCATTCCGTTTCAGTGTTTGAGAGTTTCTGTTTTATGCTCTATAAAATGCCATTTAACTTCACAGGCTGGAGAAAGTTTCCACTTAAGGCAGGTTTCTAGCTAGTACAGGTCCCAGTTTAGACAGATTTTACTGTAATTGGTAACCAGAATCATCTGTTGAGTACTAATTTGACCAAATGTAAATCAAGCCCCTCCTTCTTTGAAATTAATATTTTTTAGAATTTTCAATTGTGGACACTAATTTTCTATAATCAGGGAATAATTAGGAAAATTGTAACCACCACCGCTTGTTCATTGTGTACCGGAGGAGCACTAGTGCAACATTATTAGCATTCAATGAAGTGATTGGGATATTATAATGCTAAATAAGGTTATTATTCATCATAAAATCAGCTTTTGACTTATGTGAAGTTGCTGAAATGCTGGTTGCGACCTGTCTCAGGTGTATAATTACTAAATTAGCAGGTGGCAGCATATTAAGATACAATATTGATTACATCACTGTCCAAAAGGGTATTCCCATTACAAAAAAACCATTTTTTAAATTTCAAACTAACAATTAAAAAAAAAAATTCAAAAATATTTAGGGAAAGGAGGTTTGTAACTGAACTTAGCCCTCCCACTCTGAAATGCTATCTAGATCCACCCATGCCTTGGAGACAAATTATGAAAGATTTTGTTGTACGTCACTGCTGTGTACAACAATATGTAACAAGTTTCAAATAATTTTCAATTATTCATTCTGATCACATTTATTGGGTTGTAAAAAGTACTATACAGTCCAATAATTCTATCTACATCATTTTCAATTAATCTTGGTTTTATCCAAGAGATTTTAACTAATTAGCTCTTACTAATAAATGTTGAAAGAAATATCTCTAAATTGTTTTTACTAGACATTTTTTGATTACTTAATATAATAACAGAAAATAGGATCCTTTCAAGTAGTTCAAATTGACTGATACATGTGGTGCCAGAAGCACCCACAGTAAACAAGAGGCTTGAGGCAGTAGATCCACAGGGGCACCTTATTTCAAAAATTATTTCTGTCCCCCTGCCCCAAAATATAAGCTGAATTCATTTCTCCAAGCAACAGAAACAGCTCATAGTGGTTAATTGGAATTACAATAAAATATTTTTTATTTATTTGAGTGGGAAAGAAAATAAGGCCCCAGTTACGTCAGGGCCTAAGGCAAGTTGCCCCTGCTGACGCCCCCTCCCCATCTGGATGCCCCTGTGTAGTACTCTTTTGCAGTACTCAATTGATAGTGATTACATAAAATACTATTTAATTATTTGTTGTATAAATACACAAACTTATCATTAGATAATAAAAGACACCCATCATTAAGAGAACACGTAATGTATGCTTTGGTTGTGGAAAACAATCTTTAATAGATGGAAGATTGAAGATATAATCATGTTTTAGATTCATTCTGAATGTTTGTCAATGTTTGCACAATGAAATTAACCATACTCAAATCACTTTGTTGATTCTCTAATCAACATTCGAATGTAATACCGTTTAATGTATGTATTTGATAATTAATACTAGTATAATTCTAGCTTATAATTACTATTTTCATAACCCAAATTGTAATCATAATTCTGAAAGAAAAGACTTAATAATGGAAAATTGTTACAACCAAAATGGTGGCAATTGCAATGGGAAGTGGTGAAATGGCTGTGGTGGTGGATTTGATGATATTTTAGAGATTCGTGACATTTCTGCACTAGTTATTTTCACTCATATTTTCTTGTCTTTCTATATAATAATCTAATTTTTTTAAATTTCAAATAAGTAGTGGAATTGATAAGCATGGATGTATAATGATCTATATTAATTAAAATATTAGTAATAGTAAGTATCTTATGTAAATGTTACCTTATTTGTCATACAGTAATTGTACTATTAATGTTACGAAAATTTTAATTTACTTATTCATGAATTATATTTTGTGGCAATAACCATAGTATTACTACAAGGTATCTGTATATTACATGCAGTTTCTTACCTTCACGAACATTTTGTGTCACAGTAAATGTCTTTCCAGTATCAAGAGGAACTGTCCAGTTGACTGGTTCTGGAGATCTAATGATGATTTGCTCAGGTGACTTCACTCGTGTAGGCTCAGGAGGTGACTTCACAACAGCTGGTTCAATTTCTGGCTCAAAGTCTTCTTTAGTTTCCTCTGCTTCAGAACCAGCTTTAGTGACATCCTCAGGTTCTTCTTCCTGTTTCTCCTCATCCATACCTGAACAATGCAGGTGAAGAAACATACACTTTTCCAGTCACAAATATTAAGTTTGTTTTGAGCAGAAATAGTTTTAAAACTAGCAACATATTTTCATATAAAAAATTAATGAAATAACCATTCCATAAATAAAAATTAAATATTTTATACATTTCAAACAATTACATACTAATATATAAAAATCTCATATTCTAAATTAATCAACATGAACATTATATGTGCTGTTATCTTCAAATATCCCATGTAATAAACCCAAACACACATTCATAATATTGTAAAAAATTATAATCTTGTGTCAAGAACATAAATACTTCAAGAATTAGAAACTTTGAAAAATAATGAATGATTATTATATCAAGACAAAGGCACAAATGCATTTAAAACATGCAAAACATTTTTTGAATATCCACAATGAAATATATTACAAAAAGTATTTACAGAAATCAAGTGAACTATCTGAAATTTGCATAGTTTTTCTTGACATTTATAGTTTACAATTTAAATTTCTATTGTACTGCCTGTTAATAGATATTTGAAGTCTGAATTACATTCACATTAAGAACACAATCATTTCAGTAAGCATAACTTAACCCAGAATCCAAACTATTTGCTTTAACAAGAAGCAAATTAAATTTACTAATTAGAATAAAACTCTTTAATCTACACAAACATGTACCAATTCATATGACATTATTTACCATATATTACTAATTTCAAAAGAAGTGTAAACTGATTCTACTCACTTCAAATGAAAATTTACAACGATTATTTTCTTGCAAAATTATCTTCATATGCAAAAACGTAGGAGTAGATGTAAAACACAATAGGAAGTAGTAGGAGTAGGTATAGAACACATATAGAACACAGTATCATAAATAATTTTCAATTGAAGCAGGTTAAACACGTATATATCTTTTATAATTACTTTTCATGATAATATTTAATTTTCCTTCCTGAATAATAAATTTGTATCATTGTTTTTTCAAAAGTATAACTGGCTTATCTGTAATCTTTCTAACACAACATTGTCAGTGTGCACCAAATTCATCCTTTCTAATTGAAGACCAATGGTTTCAAAAAAGAAGATATATTAAAAATTGTGTATTATTTAAATTTGTTATAAAGAACCACTAGGGGCAAGTTTCAAAATTTTGTCAGTTTTGGAACCTTTACTCTCAGATTGCTCAAAGTGGAGTATCTGTTTTGATAACGAATCACCTTTAGTATTAATTAGGCAAAATAAGTCATGCTCATCATAAAGCAGCTCTATACATATATATATACACAGCCAATATGACATTAAACTGAGAAGATAATTGAAAAGTTACCTAACAGTTGGGAAATAAGCTCCTAATCAATATAATCAGAAGGAAAATTTTGCAACTAATTCTGAAGAGAATTATAAGAGAAATATCGTATAATAACAAAATTGAGGTTCATATTTTTTTTTATTAGGTGATCCCAAAAGATCATATTTTGTTGAATTCATCAATAAAATGAAAATATGATTGGAAAACTTACAAAATGTGTAATAAAGTATTATTTTTTGTTTATTACAACTATATTACATTTTTGTTGAAAGTTTTGTAATATTGAGAAAAAATTAAAATATTAAGAAATTACAGTATGGAATTACTCTGAAACACACATTTTATGAACTTGCCACTTACGAATTTACCATAACACATGAAATATATATTTTAATAAACTTTTCCTTTCATGTACAATAAATAATTTGTTGTAATTTTATTGATCCACACCTTTGCGAGTATAAGATTATCATTACACATATTTTTATCTTGTAAATTTTAAATATTTCCATTAAATGGTTATAAAAAGCATGGTTTTAATTAATGAATATTATACAAAAAGTTTTAATACTTTATGTTTTTGAAATTATGAAAAACAGACAATAAAAATCAATGAGCAACTAGCCACATAGAGGATAACAATTCACTGAAGGAAGTAAGTGCCTACAAATTGAAAAGAAGGTTTTATATTGTGTATAAAATATAATGAACACAAAATACATTCTGGAAAGACAAATCTAATACATGGACAAAGTATACATTTCTTTTTCATTGTTTCCTTGTTGTCAAGTAGATCACATTCTTTAGGAGATAATGCAGAGAACATCCTACATTTAATTGTAGTGAACAGTGACGTAGTGAAGAGAAAATGTAATGGATACTTTAATAATTTCAAGAAACAATGGACATGCATTTTATACCTTTTAAATACTATAAAATTGTGGGTGAATATTTTTATAAACACTCAAACATTTACTTCCACAATTTAATAAATTCTTGGCTGTAAATTCTGAATGTTACATCAGATTTTTCCATTATTCAAACTACATTATTATTATTACAACTATTATTATTATTATTACTATTATTATTATTATTACTATTACTATTACTATTATTATTACTATTACTATTATTATTATTATTATTATTATTACTATTATTATTATTATTATTATTATTATTATTATTATTATTAGTAGTAGTAGTAGTAGTAGTAGTAGTAGTAGTAGTAGTAGTAGTAGTAGTAATAGTAGTAGTGTCATTATATTAGCTACATAAACCATGTAGGACCTTTTCTGCCTAACAGACTATATTGTGCCATTAATCTAGAGTGAATAATTTAATATTTATTGCTACATTAATACATCGTTTGAATGGTCACAAAATAATTTAGATTGGCATATGTGGATCCTTCTAGTTTCTTTGCCAACAAGTTTAGAAAAGTATGTTTAAAATGTTTTCTCTTATTGCATTAACAAACATGATAACTTACAATTTCATAATATATATCTATGTTGTACAAACTTCTCAAATTATTTGCAAACAGAAGATTCCTAATTCAATATAATTGTTTTATATCAACAAATGAAGTTATGCCAAGGAAACTATGAATTGCAGTATTTTGAGTCTCGTTAATTTTAATGAATTGTAATACAGAATAACCAGTCATGTAGAAATTATGTTTCAGTTTTTTAAAACTTCCACCAGTGCCTTCAGAATGCTTAAATGCAATGTACTATTTAAGTTTTCAATATGTATTTGGAATAATTATTGTAAGGTGAGATCAGAGACCATGTTTTGAAAAAATACAATAATAAAATATTTAAATTCAGGATTTATCTCTTTACTAAAACATTACTTTTCATGTTTCTCATACTTGTTTCAAATAAATATACAGTATTATATTTCAATCTAGGTAGTTTTTGAGACCGGTTTACTATATTTTCGTAGAGATTTATTTTGCTTATGCAGGCTACCAATTCAACAATTAGATGAAATATTTAGTTTTCAACTAATTTTGTAGATATAACATTTATTTCTGTGCACTGGTACTGCTCATATGGTGAACCTTTTGTTATCATTATCCTAAAGTCAAAACGATTTTCCAAAGAGTGTGAAAATGCACACTAATACTATAGAACCAATCTACAAATTGTAAAAAAACAATGAGGTTTGTGCTGAAGTCATTTACAAAACATTGTTGAACAGACACTCCATTATCTGCTTTGTAAAGAAAGGTAAATATTAGTCAAGCATGAAATTAATATAAGTTAATAAATAAAAAAGGAGAGGGGTGTGACCTAATTTATTAAAATATGGCTTTTATTTTTAACGGTAGTTTTAATTGAATTGGCTATTTCAAAAAGACCTTATCTCCAATCTTTGTGAAAATGAATTAAGTTCACCATTTAATTCAGATTATGCTTTTAGCATTGTTACAACCTCATACTTGCTAATCTAAGCAGGTGTAGTTCTCTGTTTTCTTCGAACAGGCCATTTCTCCAGGGTTATGGTGTTTTTCAATATGCTCGCACTCACAGCTAATGGAAATGTGACATTTTCAATATAAAGATTCAATTAATTAATAACAATTAGTGGTAATTGAAATGCAAAACATTAAAATATTTGCATGGGCTTTCCCTGTTGGGCATTGTTATCAAACTTCAAAATTTGGAGACTTCTGTGCTTATTTCTCAGAAACTATTACAGCTATACCTGTGAAACATTTACAACATACTTTTAAAGTAGAAATCAAGAACCAACACAGTTGTGCCATAATTAAAAAAATCTTCATTTCTTCAGTGCTTGATAGACATTTTGAAGAAAACAAAAAATTATATTCTTCCTTTCATAAAGGTACTAAGTTCGAGTAGTAAATACACAAAACCGTGAGGAATATTCAGTACAAAATTGCTTGAATAATTTGTAATTATTCATGAGAAGAAGCACAAAGTTATATATTCCAGGGTATTTAATCTCACCTTACGCAATTCAAAATTGATTTACCAACAATATTTTATCCTGAATTATTGTAGAAGAAATAAAGGAACAGTTACATCAATTCTTCATTGTGTGCATTTTCAAAATAGTAGTGATGAATTAAATTAGTACAAAGACAATTTCAAAGCATTCTTAATTTTATTCTTTCTAGTTAAAATTCCTGGGTTTGCTTTCAGGATTGTCCTGCACAATATATAATGCTTCTCTTAATACCCATTTATTAAACTGAAAAAGAACAGTAAATAAACAATTCACTTTTGATTTGAAGATACAAAATGATATGAAAATTTAATGAACTTCAGATGTATATACAGAGAAATTTATACCAATAAACATAAATTTTAATCACACTAATTGTCAAAAATCAACTGAGATTGATTATCTTAAATGAAACTAGACATAATGTTATGAGAAGAATGAATTATTGTAGGTGTATCTCAAGGTCAATATTTATGAATCACTTTCATTAATAAATTTAAAAAAATTACTGACAATTGATGCATTTTACTTTCAGTCACTATGAATTGCTCAAAATTTTAAATCACATTCTTACATTTTGCTTCAGAGAGACAAACATAACTCTAACAAATTATTAGTATGTTTGGATTTCATAAATGGTGTAAATTTTAAAACATTTGGAAAATAGGCTCTTTGCAATATGTATTAAATTACTGCTTTTAGTACAAA